TACCTCTGTACGCGCCACTGTTGTTTACTTGTTTTTTGGAGACGCTCTCTGATTTACGACCAAGCTCTCCAGGTTAGTATTTGATGTATAACCGACCACTTCGTACACTCGATGCACCTGAGCGACTACAGCTACTACCAGAACACAGTGCGTATGCAGCGGTATTTCAGATTTTACATTCAATTTCATTTTAAATTTGAAATGGTTCATCTTACGTCTCCTAAAAATTATGACACGATTTTCCTTTGATAAAAGACCGACAACTTTTTGCTCTACTTTGCATCGGATACGATCCTACCTTATAGAATCCTTTTTTATGTTTGTTTAGTTTGTTATGTTATATACACTTTAATACTCGCTTTAATATTTACATTTTTACTTTACTTAAAAACTTTCAACTTAACCCCAAGACCGTATTTTTATTATACAGAATCTTCATAAATGGTTACAAGCAACGTGATCAGTAATTTTGCTTGGAATAATAATTTTATATCCTTCACGTTCATATTAAATTTCGGTAAAATTAAAACAATAAGATCAAGTTTACACTAAAAACAACATTCTGTTTCACCAGTTCTGAGTGTGTCATTTTTCACGAGGTTCTATTCAACCAATCACTCGACCAATCAGCAATCGCATTATCTGGAGCGTATCGTAACGGTTCGTCATTATTCATTGTAAACGAATTGGTGACGCCAAGATTTAGGGAATTTGCGTTACCGGTTCCAGTCCTGTAATGTTGGTTGCTTAAGCTCGGCGGTCACTGGCTTGTAAACATTTATGAAGGCTCTGTATCTATATTGTTTTATTCGTATTTTTGAAGTTTATTTACTATTTAGTAGTGGATAAGGAAAACATGTATTTTTCATGCATTATGCATTTCTTTTTTTACTCAACCCTCAACGCCATTTAAATATTTTGGGGTGATGCTTACCCTTGCTTGGGGGGTGAAAGTCAAAAATACCAGCAAAGAATGTCGCTCTTTAATCTAAAATCGACGGGTCTGAGCATTTTTCTACAATCTTGACGCAGTTCTTGAAAATGGCTCTGTTTCGTTTTCATTTGGCCCCCTTTAATCTAAAATCGACGGGCCTGAGCGTTTTTCTACAATCTTGACGCAGTTCTTGAAAATGGCTCTGTTTCGTTTTCATTTGGCCACCCTATACCTTGGTAGGTACCTATCGAGGTCGAGGTACTTACAGTATTAATTCTGAGATTATTTGATTTGAAAATTTTAAGATCAAAGTATTTAATTTTAACAAATTTATTATTTTTTTTTGTAAATACATAATATTCGGCTTAATGTAGATCGTAAATCTAAAGTTTACAAAATAAACAACAAAATATAAAATATTTGATATATGTACAATTTAAAATAAAAGTACTCTGCTTCAAACTGAGATGTTTTTGGATATATTAATTGCTCCATTTTCATAAAGTACGAGCATATACCAGTATATACGAAGGTGTTAACATTACTATAAATTTATAAAGGACATGTTTCCACATCCATTTTTTAATTTATACTTGCAGCACATGCGGATTTTTTAAAGCAAATTAGAGAATAGATTTAAATACGATTATAGCCTATCAAGGCCAGTTCAAAAGAAACTATTATCATTCAGTAATTCAATAGACAGCTACGGACAGCTACTTCTATGTTAAAATTTTAACAATTTCTCAGAATTTATTGCGCAACTTTTCGCGGCAATACAATTAATTGGAAATGAATGAAATAAATCAATGAGCTCAAGCATTGTAACAAATGGTTTTTCACGTCGATATGCTCTTTTACAAATTTTCCTAGAACTATGTTCTTTATTATAAAATAGGTTTTACCAGACAAATCTTAATGAGATGTAAGATAAAAAGTGTAGGTATATTATAGACATCAATTCGGTTCAGTAATTAGAATTTTACCTCGAATTTTACAGACATTTAAATCGAGATTAAAATATACCTAGTAAGTAGGTATTTTGTATTAAAACTAGATTACAAATGTTTTATTTTAGCAGTTATCCAGAGTTTTTTTAAAATATAAGCCAGTTAGAAACAATATCTCTTCACTTAAGTGCCAGCTATACAAGTTTTCTCCAGAGTTTACAAGTTGAATAAGTAAAAAAAGCATATTTTTACCTGTTAAGTATGTTTATAATTACGTTTCCTGAACTTTACACGCCTACTGAATATACGTACCTTAATGTACTATATATTATAAACCTAATCACACCCGACACTATTAACCCATGAATTAATCACAATAAGTACTTTTTACAAAATTCTCGACAAAACAGGAAAGTTACGTTCCCATGTTTACACGAGTGTCCATGTTTTCCGTGATCTTTCACTGCGAAAAATTAAAGGAATCCTTGTATCTTTCTATAGTTTAGATAGATTTTCTTGTTCTATCGATGCCTTGCGAAAAGTGCGATTTCTTCTTTCTATAAAACAGCAGCCTATAAGTGGGTACATATCAAACTAAAGTATAATAAAAAATAACGGATAATACATAAGTACCTCGACTTGAATAATCTCGAAAATAATTTTTGCCAGCTCAGTCAATATCACATTCAGTACCGATTGAATAAACAAAAGATACTGTAAACACTATACTTGAATGAAATTAGAGCCCGTTAACCTCAACATGTTATGGTACAATAAATTCTTCCTCGAATTGGGTCGATTGAAACCAGCATCTAACAATACCTACTTAACTGATGAAACACTAATAATAATTATTATACACGGACCACAAATGTTGAAACACTTCTCATTATAGTCATATTAGGGAAAGTCCATTTCCCTAATATGATTGCTTTCCCACTCATTTAGTGAAGTCGGCCGAACAAGACGTTTTGTATGATGTTGGACTTGGATCGAAAAATAAATCCGAGAACAAACTCCAAATCAGTTCAGTTCAAGCTGGACCTTTGAAACTTTTATGACACACGTTTCGCCTTTATTTGGAGCACAACGCATGGTATTTCAAAATACTTATATATGTACATGATTTACCCAGCTTAACCATTCAAATTTGGTGCAACGGATGTCAAGGAAAAAATTGTAAATACAGGGTACATTTGGAAGAAGTTACGTTATTTTACCTATTTTCATGCCTATATTTTTTTACGTTACGGATATTAAAACAATGTAAATAATCGATTAAAACACATTAAAACAATCCATACTGCTTGTATGGATTGTAAACATTGTGCTTGTACAAAGGTACAATTGGGGGCATAATTACTATTATATTGATGTTTTATTTAGAATGAAGAAAATTATAAAAATATAGGTGTATGTATTGATTGTATCTCTTTTCAATAATTCATTCCTACACCCAAATGAAAAATGGTTAGTTAATATAAGTAAATACCCCTAATGTAATAAAAAATAATGATAATTACAAATTATTTACTGCGTAGAATCAAGCTTAGAATCATTTATTTACATTCCTAGTTATACCTAGATTACAGTATTTTCGTAATTATTATCTACAATTATATTCCTATTATTACCAGTAAGTATTCACTTACATTACTTCAAGATATCGACAAACGATTTGTCAAAGAAAATCTAGAAATACCTACAAAAACATTTTCTAGATTTATTCGGTGCTTAGGTAGATATTACTAACATTCCTGTACATTGTGGAATATACAAAGTGTCCCGATGGTACGTTTTGGTATATCTAGATATACCTACCTGTTTTAATTTCCAGCTCTTCGTTTCGGAACCAATTAGTTGTTACTTATTAAACCAAGCATTAAATTGTTTATACCTACCAGCTCATTTCAAATTACTTTTAGGCGTTCAGTGAAACTTCACGCAAGTGTCAATAAAAACAGTAAATAAATGTACCGGTTTCGCTATAGTTCCTCTGGTAAATGGACTACAAAGACCAATATAGTGAATGTTGCAAATTCAGCGCAACTAAAGAGTTGAAAATCAACTGTCCCATCTATCATAAAACCTATTAATAGCTTAGATGTTGGTTTTATCGCACAAATACCAATAGGATGCAGTAACCAAGTAAATCAATAGCAAACGGTACTCACTTATTAATAGTTAACCCATACACCAACGTTTTCCTATTTCTTTTTTTTTATTTATATATTTTGTAGTAGGTTAAGTACCTACTTATATCCAAACTACAATTTCCTCATCAGTTTTATCTTGGATGATTCCGTGAATGCTATTATAAAATGATATGCTTAGTAGGCCGGTTGCTTATCAATATGTAATAAATTTGTTTACTCAAAAATGATATCACGTTAAAACCCCAAAAGATAGATCAAATACAATAACAAAGTATTCAACTGTATATATTATTTTATGTACATGACTTATGTTGGCGACACAATTTGGGTCAGCGCTTCGACGAGAACGTTCTTAAAAACATTTAATTAAAGATGGTTTCTTTACGGTAACATCGTTAAAATCGACAAAAGCTACGGATCGCTGGGAATGTTGCTTTGTATTAAATGAAATGTACCGCTATGTAAACGTATGCAGCTGTTCGTATGATATCGGTTTAATAAGGTTTTGTCAGTATATGCTTAAAATAGCTTGAGATATTTCTTTAGAAATAATCAATGAACTATTTGGGGAGCGTTTTCTAAATTTAAATTATTTCTGAGCGGTCATTACGCCCGCAGTATTTTTAATAAAGCTTTCGGTTAATAATATCTATATATCGAAATATTGAGTATTTTTAACGTAGGTACCAGTTAATTCTTTTATAAGTTGCTTTGTATACAATTAAATTCATTATTATGATAAACAAACAAATTATTGTAATATGCGCGTGCTTACGTACTAAATGTATATGAACCTACATCATTCATTATGATTTCTATTTTGATGATGCATACCTACCTACACGAAGTATTATTATTTTATGAAAGTTTACTTCACATTTATGAATAAAACTAGTGTGACAGGAGTTTGAAACTCGATTTTTTACTAAAAACTAAGAAATTAAACAATTAAGAACTTACTTTACGAAGATGTAGGTAGTTATCCAATACAGTCACCAACGTATCAAGTTTTGAAGACAACTCACACTCACAAAAATGTAACACAAAAACAATTAAAACTATAATCGTAATTTAAATTAGTTGTACGTTAAGTACACGTGAGTCAGTTGATAGTACGCACTTCAGACACTCACTGGGATTGTTTATTCATGATTTGCACTAATTATTCACGCGATTTCAGCGATTTTGGGGGTGTTTTGAGGACAAGAGCGCTTCGCCGTCACAAGATGGCCGGACCTAGGCTTGGTGTCAGTCCGATTGCTTTGCCAACCCCCCTCCCGCTGTGCACGGAACCCCCCGTAAACGTCCAAAGGCTTTCATTCTCGCTTCTCCTGCCTCTCTCTCCGTCGCACATTGTACGTGCAGTTACATCGCGGCCGGATGCACACTGTAAAAATTACGTTGATTACTCATTTCGGTGTGTTTTTATCGGCCGTGTTTGGGGAGTGCTCTCGCTGTGTTTTGGCGTCTTGGCGGTTCGGGTTGGACGTTTTCTTGTGTAAGTAGATCGAACATGAATTCCATTAATGAATTAACTCAGGAGATAGAATTTTAAGAGTTAATAATCATGTGTGCCTGAGTTTGTATTTAGATGCGAATATTAGGACATAATTTACGAGCCGAAAAATTATCTTATCTATGTATATGTAATAATATACCTACCTACTCCTATTTGTAAATGACTAGTTTTTATTATTATTAAATTAACTTTTGATGAATTTAGGAAGATGGGAAGTATGTTATAAATAAAAAGTGGTACAAGACCCATTTATAATTTAGTAAACGTGTATTATACGTCTTCAGAGTGCAGTGGCGGCGGTATAGACATTGTGAGAAATAATTTTACAAGAATTTTAAAAATGTGTAGAAACGAAGGAGCCCCTATTATGACCTATTTCGCAGATGCAATTAAAGCACATAGACTAGTATTAAGTAATTACCTAATACTGATTTATTAACATGGGTATCCACTACCTACCTATTGTATATAATTTGTTATTAATAAGTTTCTCTTTTTTCAAGACTATATTATTGAAAATTATGTTTTTACAATAACTGGCCCTGGCAAGGCTGATGAGCAGGCCATTTACAAATATAGGCAGGCAGGTAAGGTACCTAGGTACCACGTACCTATACGAAAGGTATGGTATCTAGATACCTAGGTAGTAGTTGAAATGTTGATGTCTAATATATAATAGGTACATAGGTACATTTCTATTCACATGTATTGCTAAATTCAGTTAAATATTATATTATAAACATAATCTTTTATATTAATCACGGGAGTAAATAATCTTTTGTGGTTAAGCACTTAATCCTCCAACTTTTTATTGCCTTATTTTTTTTTCATGTCTGGAAAAAATGATTTTATATACCTACCTACGTACTAGAAATATCTACCTATACGGATATACCTACTTGCTAGAATTAAAACGATAATTGTAAATGTAGAATAGGAATGTAGGTACCTTCCTAAAATGTCTAGATAATGGATAATTTATTTAGTACCGTCATGAGCGTAGCTAGGAGGGAGCGGGATGTGCACGGCCCACTCCAGAAAGCCCGGTGCCCACCCCAGAAAAAAAAAGATCCAATAACTTTCTCATATACCTAAAGTCGCTAACTGCGCTACCGTTTTTTAGAATCAGATGAAAGTGTTTAGGTTTTGAACTATATCATTAAGTCATTGATTACGTTTTTTTAAGCCTCCATAGAGCTTGCAGCAGCCCTGGATCCACCCCAAGCAAAAATCCTAGCTACACCCATGAGTACCGTAAAATTTTGAATTGGAAATATTTTTAACTTCATACTTACTGCCCTAGTATACAGTTTCGGAAAGTCCCCATGGTTCATCGGCCGTTACGTGAGAGCGATAAAGTAAGTCATAGAAATCCGTGCGATAAAGAAAGATGTATATAATGAAGGCGTCTAATATCACCGCCCATTTCGCCCTTCCACAAATAAGAAGTAGATCTTATTTGTGGAAGGGCGAAATGGGCGGTGACTATTAGACGCTTTCATTATAGCCATCTTTCTCTATCGCACGGATTTCTATGACTTTCTTAATCGCTCTCACGTAACGGCCGATGAACCATGGGGACATTCCGACCCTGTATATTCTTTTACCTAATAAAAGCGTTTTTAAGTATTTGCTATTGACTATTTGGGTTAATTAATAGAAAAAAATACATTTCAATTATTTTAGTATCTAAATAGGTATGAACCTACCTACCTAGATGTACATTTTAGTGTAATATTAATATTTAATTTGAAATTAGGTAGGTAAATAGGTATTTTCGATTCGACCTATATAAAGAAAATCGTATAGTTAGTTCTATTTGTACAGTTCCAATTTTCTGTAATCGTCGATTTAAAAATGGCAGCGCATCTACGACACACAACCAAAACAGGCCGCGTCGGCAAATCAATTAATCCTAATAAAACAATGAAAACCGAACGTTCGGCAGCGTGAATCTGGCTTGGAGCGTCCCGCGCCCCTCTCAAGGCTCGGGCCGGTCGCTCAAACAACTGTCGTGTACTAAACCGCTCGACTCCACTATCCGCTATCCGCGATATTACGCTAGCATCACATAAAATGGAAGCATCCTGAGTCGATACTCGCCCGCTCAGCGCCCAGAAGCCGCGTCGTTGGCCCTCTTCTCCAGAAAACTCCCGAGACCGCCGAAATGCACCCATGCAAACGCTTAAATAATGTAATTTGCGCACCTGGAGGCGATCATCATCTCGGAAGGCTTTGCAAGCCGGGCGATCCCGTTTGTCGTTTGTTCCTTGTTCGGGCCGGGAACATAGACATATTACCCACGAATCCGTACGGAAATTCGACGTAGATTACGAATAAACAGGCGGCAGATCAATATCTGTAACCAATCGTGAGTTACAGCCTAAAACATAAAGAGACGGTGCGAGGGTCCCGTTCTCACGGCGCAGAGGCCGCAATCAACCTACAAAAATGCCGCTTTCCCAGAGAATTATACATGTATCGCACACGAACCAGCGGTAGAATTTTCCGGGCAAGCCGGGGAAGGCGGTCTCAAGTCCCTATCTGTAAGTGGGAAAGAGTTAGGTCCCTAAAACTGAATTCGGCTCCTAAAATATTTAATATTGCAGATGTAACGGCGAATTAACGAAGTTTGGAGGCTCAGAAGTCTTGTTTTCTTTAAGTAACTAGAGTTTTCCTCTTTTAAGTGACAAAATATTGCAGGTTTTCAAAAGTTGGTATATCTAGTACAAGATAGGTGCCTATTTACCTGGTTGGCTCAATATAATTAACTATTCACATGGACGTATGGGCTATGAAAATATAGAAAACATTTACATTTTTACACATTCTTAGAAATTTGTTTGTTAGGTACCAGTTATTCGTAATCAATTATTTTAAGGTAGGTAATTAAAGTTAATACATTGTGACTGATTGAATGATTCATGTCGAATAGAAGATTCCAATTAAATCGCCGATTAAATATTTATCATTACTTTTTTATCTGAAAAGTTTTGGTATTAGGTAGATATTTATTTATATTCAAACACTGTAATTGAATGTATCAGATTTTATCTTAACAACTTGGAAACATATAGAACAAGTGTAAATACCTAACTAGACTTTTAAATAAAGGTCAAAAACTGTTCTATACGTAAGTATCTACACAAAAATTCAAAATCGTACTAATGATGTGATGTACTATTTTACGCTATTTAAGATAAAAGCGGATGTTCCAAATTCCCAAAATATTTAACTTTTACTTATTTTCACTAGTTTTCTTTTATAATTTTTATGGATGTCTGCATACAGAGTGTCATAATATTCCCTGAACTACCACAAATTATCACGAAAATGATCACCGTTTTCAACAGCACATAATTCAGTTAAAAAAATAATTCGTCACATATTTCTTCAATTCTGTAAATTATTGACTATCAAATTTGAATCTCTTTGATTATTCTTATTTTAAGGAGCATTAAATTAGATTACTTCGAACAGAAACTACAGTTCAAATTTGCAGAATGAGCACGGTAATGTTTTTTTACTTACCTACCTAATTTCTTAAGAATGTAACTGAAAATGATGATTCCAATAATTTTTGGCAAAAGAATTATGGGTTACAAATATCTGATCTTCACAAAGCATTATTTCGTTTGTATTACCAAATAAATAAATGCTTTAATGACATTTAAAGGAGATTTGCATCGAAAATGAGATAATATTGATAATAAATAAAATCATTTATTGTCAAAAAAACTTATAGAATATAAATGTGCTAAGAAAAAGAGTGTATTCTATGTGATAAAACAATAACGGTAGTAAGGTCATTCACAAAAAATGTGAGCATTTTTTCTCGATAGCATAGGCGTAGCCAAGGGGGACAAAATAAAGTATACTTAATTGACTTACTTTTTTATTGCTATTAAAATATCTTATAATGACTAGACAAGCAAACTTTGTGGTAAATAAATAATAGTAATCTATATTATGCTAGTAAGCGGCCATATGCGATGTAGTAGCAGAAATAGGTTAAATATGTGGTCAAGTCGTGCCAATCTATGCGCATAGTACACAATGCTACTGACTGTCAAAGAAACGTGTCATATACTCCACCAAGCAAAGCGACAACCTCGCTCACACGCACAAACGACAATGAAATTCACGTCCAACGTCCCTCAACAAAAAACTGGATTGTTCACCGGTACGCCAAGACGATAGGGCAGGCATTAGGGAATCGCTAGGTACGTACCGAATAAATTGATAGATGCGAAACTTCAGATCAGAGACAGGCATGTACAAATGTGAAAATATACATCTGACATTACTGAGAATACAGTGATTTTTTTATTAAAAAGATGTCAGCACACATTGCGCGTTTAATGATTGGGCACAGGCTGTTCAGAATAATATTCAATAAAGGAAGATAAATGGAGAGTTTAGTTATTTTTCCAAATTGAAATTTTCATATCCATAACTTACTGCATAGAGAGTGGTAAAAATTTACGCCGAGTTTAGGTAACTTCAAAACATCATACGTTTTTTTTTTTCAAACAAATGAAAATCTTTTTTATTGTTCATTCACTTCAGATTCCAGACACGGCCCCCTCCTGATGCGAAATTCTGGCTATGACACGGATGGTGAGATTACTAAAAACGACAATTTTAGATATGCGCTTTGACATCGGTAGGTAAATGTTGAACAGTCATTTTCGTTTTTGAATTGGGTATTTACGGATCGCCAGAGACGATTAACTTCGGAACACTTAGTATAGTCGTTCCGAAGTCAGTTGAACATGTATAAAAACGCCTAGCAATAAAATTTAATGAGATTCATAGGCATCCCTAAAAAAGTTTTCTGCTAAAGTAAAAAATTATAATAATTTGTATATAATATGTGGAAAATTTCTATTGTTCATTTGACCAACAACATATTTTAATTTATTTATATCCTCAAACAATTTTATTATATTGATGGTAAATTTCGTTTTGTTCGGTCA